AAAGTTTGCTTCCTCCTCTAGTTTAGTTTCCTCTTTATTAGAGGTGTTATTATCTAAGCTAGCGTCCTTAAGGTTAGCTAGTAGATTAGAATAATATATATATACTATATAATATCCTTATTCCTCTATTTCCTTTATAATTATAGTATTAATAGTTCTATTATAATTCTAGACGTATACGTCCTATATAGTGTTTACGCTATCCTTCTTATATTAGTACACTAACTTTTTCTAGAAGTTTAGCTAGTTAGATTTATTCTAAAGGTAGTTAGAATTATTCTAAGGGCAGTTATAAGGCCTTTCCTTATTATTCTCCTAGTTTTCCTTAAGTTAGGGAACTAGATCGCTAGCTTAATTAGTAGACTCCTTCTTAATACAGGTTAAGCTAAAGAGGTCTTAAACTCTATTCTATAAGTACTAGGATTTCCTAGTAGAAGGTAAAGCTATAGAGTTCTTAATTAGCCTCACTAGGGATTTCTATCCTCCTTAAGTAATATTTCTTCTCTAACCTTCCTAGTAATCTATAAGTTCTTAGAGCTAAAAGTCTCAGTCCTCTTAGCTAATTAGTTAAGGTTATCTAGCAATTAGATTAGAGTTAATTTAGTTATAAACTAGCCTAAATATCTAAGACTTTAGATAGTTATAAGTATATACTAGTTAGCTAACCTTAGCTATAAAATATCTAAGATCCTTATTATCCCTTATATCTTCTAAAGTATACTAAAAGTGATTTAGGTAAGTATATATAATAGTATAAGGTATATAAAAATATTTCAGTAGCTATTTTGCCTATAAATCTAGTCTATCGTGAAGGCTATATAATAACACTTACTATTCTAGAGATAAATCTCTAGTAAACTAGTCTTATACTATACCTAGTAGATAGAAATATAGGTTAGTAGTAGTAGTAATAGCATATTATAGAGACTAGAGAGCATATCATTTAAATAAATTAATAAACTACTTAACACTTATCTAAATAGTTTTAGTACCTTCTAGTTAACTATACTTAAAGTTATTATATCTTAATATTAGCTTAAACTATCTAATTTCTTCTACGTAAAATTAAATATTACCCTAGAAAACCTTCTTAGCTTTATTACCTCTAGTACTACTATTATTACTAGATGGCTCTAACTTTAGTAGTCTTTTCTATAATATCTTACCTATCTTAGTAGAAGAAGCTTAGCTAGTTTCCTAGTGCTTATTTTATAGCATTCTAATTAGAAACTTTAAGTACTATATATAATAAACTATAGGGAAATCTTAGTTAGTATTAGAGATTCTATACTATAGCTTTATAAGTAGTTTAGAGTAAGATATATTACTTAGTAGTAGTATACTAGCTAGGCGTAAGCTTCTTATTAAGAGTTCACCTATTAAGAGATAAAATATCTTAGCTACTCCTTATATTTCTAGGATTTTAATAGTAATATATAGTTCTCCCTAAGTTATTAGGGTCTCTAGTAGATCTACTAAAATTAAGGTAACTAGTTTCTAAGTATTCTAGCTTTTTTATAATAAGGGTGAGTTTAAAAGTTATCTAGTTAGAGCTTTACTACTACTTACTTCTATATTATTATACTATTAAAGTAGTAGCCTTTTTTTAAGGTAGTTAAAGATAACTATTTAATAATACTCTTCCCTATCTAGCTAGGTGAGGATATTTTTCTTAAACTAACTTAGATAAGTTAAATAAGTCTTAATATTCTTCTTAGCTTCCTCTATAATTAGGTATTAATTTCTCTTTATATTAAAAGCAGATTTCACTACTAATAGAAGTTAATTAATAAGAAAGGTAGGTATAATAAGAAAGTAGAGCTAGTTATAGTAAACTTAATAACTATAAAGGAATTTAGTAGTATTAAAGAGGTCTAAAGGTATAAATAGTTCCTTAAGATTCTAAGGAATATCTTATAGTTCCCTTAAGTCTATAAATATAGTAATTATAGTATATTCTCAATAAGGTTATTAGTTTATTACTTATCCTAATAAGATTAGAAAGAGTTAATACTTTATTAACTTTTCTTTCTACTAATCTAAATAGCGTTACCGCTCTATTAACTAGAAATTAGTTATACTACTAATTATTATGCGTAGGTATAAGTAAAAAGATATAATATTATAATACTTCTTCTAAGGGATTCCTAGGAGATTTCTCTGAGGAATACTCTAAGTATTTCCTAGGGAAATCTTAGGGAAATCTCTAGGAAATCTCTTAGGATTCTATATATAGTTTCCTAGAGAAATCCTAGGGAAATCCTAGGGAATTCCACGCTTAATCCCCTCTAGGAAATCACAGGGAAATCCTAAACTATAGTATAACAATAACCTAAAGTTATTTATATTTAATACCTCACCTATATTATTAACCTTATAGTTTAAGAACTATATAATTACCTTAAAGTTACTTATATACTTATAATAAGTAACCTTATATAATATATATTAAATATAAATAATAAAGAAGTTATTAAGGCTATTATGCTACTATAATAAACCTTAATAAGGTAGGCTACCTCTATTTTATAGAATATAGATTAGGAAGTTTATTTAGATAATAAGACCTCTATTAATTATAGTCTAAATAGGATTTCACTATTAGAAAGTTAAATTAAAGGATACTATACTTTAATACTTATTATAGTAATTACTAAAGTAGGGTACCTTATTCCTAATCCTTTATATCTATTATTATTTATAACCTTTTAGGTTTAATACCTTATACTAAAGATTAAATCTAGTTTAATATACTCTTTAGAGTTTCTAGTATTTTAGAAAAATAATAAAAATAAGAACTTTATAAAGTACTTTAAATATCTAATTATTAATATAAAGACTTATTAGAACTTAACTATATTAATATTAGTTTACACTCTTAAACTTTAAACTTTAATTAATACTTAGTTTAATAACTATAGTAATAATATCTCTTTTAAGCTAGAAGCTAATAAATAGTACTAAATTAAGGTTATCCTTAATATTTCTATATACTTCCTTATTATTATATATATTCTAAGCTAGGATTAAGCTATTAATATTATTTATATAATCACTTTTATAAAGATCTATTATAACTATTTAATAAAGTATTAAGAAGCTATTAAGAAGCTTAATACTAATAAGAATAAATATTAAGTTTTATCTCTTTAAAAAGTAGTATAAGTAGTAGTAGATAAACTTAAGAAGTATTAGTTACTATAAGAAAAGGATTAATTTTTTTATATATTTTTATTATTCCTATATCCTTTATCTATACTAGATATAGTAAATAATAATCTAAGATTTTATAGTGTTTATAAAGCTTATTCTAGCTTATTAGCTAATATTACTTAGAAAGAGTTTACTAAAATCTATACTAAAGACTACTATGAGGATAGCTTAGAGAACTTAAAATCTACTCTAGATAAGGTTTATAGATTTATCTATAGTTTAATAGCTTTAATACTCTAAAATCTTAAGAAATAAGTATATTATAACTTTTCTTCTATCTTTATAATAACCTATTATAATAATCCTTATAAAAATTTTATTATAATAATCCTATTATAATAATCTTATTATAATATTATTTTAATTACTTAGCTTATATACTTCTTTAGAACTAAAAATAAATATTTCCTTTAAATAGATTTAATATTATTTATAATTTCCTTAAAAAGTATAAATACTATAATCCCCCCTTTTTTAGAAATAATACTAAATTAGTATAAAGTTATTATACTAAGTAATTAATCTAAAACTTCTAGAGAAACTTAAAAAAAGATCTAAAATATTATAGCTTCTATAAAATAGCTTATAATTATCTTTATATTTTCCTTAGTATTATCCCTCTTAAATAAGTATTTAGTTTTAATAGATATATCTATTACTATTTATACTTTAATATAAAACTTAAGATAATTTTCTATTAACTCCTTCTTACTATTTAGAATAAGTAGTAGAAATAGCTTTTATTCTCTAATTTAAAGCTTTTTATTTTAGAAAATAATATACTTAAGAAACTTAATAAAGATTATACTATATTAATTTACTAAATATTCTAATATAAAGTTCTTAATATTAAAAGTTTTTATACTATCTCTTATAAGTTTATTATTAAGTATACTTAAGATATTATTAATATCTTAAGTAATAATAATAATAATAATACTTAAGATATTTAAGACTTAGTATAACTAGAGTTTTTAGATATAAAATTTATTAAAGTTAATAGCTAAGTCTTAAGTTTTAATAATAAACTAAATTAAACCTCTTAGATATTACTTTTAAATTTAAGTATATTATAATAAAGTTTATAAGCTTATAGATATTCCCCCTTATTATTAAGTTAGAGAATAAGAGAATAATTAAGTAGCTAAAAGATTATAAATAAAATAGATTATAGTGAATTTCCCTTATTAGAAATTAGTAATATAGTAGAATAGTTTAATTTATCTCCTATATAGTTTAGATACTTTAATTTAAGTTTTAATTCCTCTCTAAACTTATCTTAGTATATTATACTTATTAAATAGACCTTTACCTAGAACCTAAATTATAGTCCCTATTATACCTATATACCTAATACCTAAATATTAAAATCTTACTTAATACCTATACCTACTTAGTACCTACCTAGATACCCCTCTATAACCTATAAACTATATAGGTATATACCTATATAGGTATCTATAAATAGTTTGAAGCCTATACACGATAGGCTCACACTTACATCAGGCTCCTACAACTAATCCGTTCAAGTGTAGGACTTAAAGAGTAGCAGATACATACGCAACTTCAAAGGTCACTAAGCCTATATTACTTCAGTAGCATTTTCTGGCGACGGTTCCCTGCTTGTCTCAGTTTCGGAAGACAACGCTGTCAAAGCTTAGCAGATAACTACTGGAGCCTGCATTCAACATCATTCTCATGAGTATTCAATACCGGTGACCTTTCCACACGACTATTCCCGTATAGCATTTGCCACAGAAAAAGGCCTTGAAATTCGCCCTATCATGATGGAACAGTCTACGAATACAAGTGCTAAAAGGCCCTCTGCTGGAGATAAATCTAACAAGGTCTCTAGGAAGGTTGACGCCTTCGCAGTCTCATTGGATGGCACCAAATGTGCAGCTGTCCTGGGAGGTGGCATACGTCTATGGGACCGGGCCACAAACCGGACCAAGCACATGCAGAGTGGTCATGACGGACGTATCACCTCAATAGCATTTTCCTCAAGTGGGGATCTGTTTGCGACAGCTTCGACTGACAAGTCGATCAAGCTCTGGGATTCGACGATAGATCAACGATATACCTATCCTCTACCAAGCCCAACCAGGAGATTCGATCCGTCCACAGATCCACGTACGTCGCGCCAACTCAGTATTATAGGCACTGCAATATCATCAATCAGAGCAACACAGCAGAGTGCGAAAGGTTGGGCAGCCCCTCTCTGATCCCTCTGGCTACTTCTGCGAAGCACACTTCCGCTAACGTATTAACGCCCCTTAGACACCAATATGGCAGTTGTATTCACGTCCAACCCGACCGCAGGACTCAAACCATTTTTTGAGCTGATTCACACTGTGTCTTTCGCCTCAGGAGGTAGCCGCGTTATCGCAGTGTCCCGTCACAGAACAACCGTCTGGGATAGGGAGACTGGCAAGTGTATACGAACGATTCAGAGTGGTGGCGACGCCCCGTGTACCGCAACGATTTTGAACGAAAGGATACACCTGGCTGAAGTTTTCATGGGCCAGATTCATATTACTGATGTAGGCATGGGAAGGCACCTGGAAACCATTGAACTATACAGGCGCGCAGGCCGCCTGATAGTAATCTCACTTCAAAAGATCGGCCCCCACGATCACCCCGACTTCGACGATCAGACGTCTTCGAAATTGGACGTTGCATGGATTCGATTTGACATTTCGAAATATTACCTCCACACTGATCTTGGAACTATCGACCTGAATACCACGCCAAAAACGATTTCAACAAAGGGTTCTGCAACTCTGTACCCAAGCATAAATTCTGGTTTGAGCTTTGGATCGGAAATCAGCTGGATTCTTATGAACGGTAGGAGGTTTCTGTGGATTCCCCCTGAACAGCGACTGAAGTCAAGGCACATATATGTTGCAGTCTTAGGGTCCATTTACAATTCTAGACCAGATCTTTCCGTTGAATTTCCTTAGATTAGAGACATAGCCAGCATTTATTCCGTACCACACATTTCTCCACGTCGGTAATTCAACTTCTTTGTGCGTCTGTAACGCGAGGTTAGTCACAAGTTGCAGATCTCTTCTTGCTAATTATTTGAACTACCAAGGACAAACCCCATCCATCCTCGTGGCCGCAATAATTATCCTGGAACGAAACTTACGAACTTATGATGAAACATTCTCATCGTGAAGGATGTCAGGATGAATCCGGACGTCTCTGCCACATTATAACACAAGTCTAGTTGGACCGCATCTTACTTGCCTCTGTGCCTCAATTTATCGTTCGCGAACATCAGCATGACTGATATACTGCGTAAAGAACGCCCTCTCCGCACTTTGTGATAGGTATGATGTTAACGCTGGCACAGCGCATTCACCATGCGGGATTGAAAGCTTCAGAATTCATGTGACATGTACATGCATGCCTACTTAGACATTGCGTTCCGCGCCATCGAAGTCAAGAGTAAAAATAGACCATCGCCCCGCTTCTTGAAAGTCTCCACGTGTTGAGCACGCCTTAAACGCCTCGCCTGTTCCCCGTCTCCGGCCGTCTCCGGGTCATCAACGTTAAGTCAACCAATGCCGTTCCTCCCTACCGTTCCTTCCTCTGCATACTTCCTCATCGAACCCCTCACCATCTATAAGAACCCTCCCTCCCGAAAATCCGGAATTGTTCGACTACTTCGTACTCCAATTCGATCGATGTGTCCGCCCGCTAAATCTCCATCCACATCCTCTCGCCAATCGCTCATACTTCGTCACATTTTTTTGTGTTGCTTATTCGGACGGTAGGTTGTTGGAGAACAAATACAATGGGTACATGCCTTCGTGGATATCGTTTATCGAAAACATTAGAGAAGAATGAAAGTGTGTGTAGTAGTGGTAATCGTCATTTCGGTGTGATCGATCGGTCGTCGGGAGGAGTTACTCGATTCGCGGCGGCGTCTTCGACGAGTACGGTGACGCACTTCTCCTTTTTAAAGAAGGGGTGTCAGGGAACCCTTTCGTTATGATACAAGCTTTTGGAGGCATAACAACAAAGACACAAGACAAGCATTTTTGCGAGAAGCAAAAGTCCGGGGGTCAGGACTCGGGAGTGGTAAAGGAAGTCGCTTACGATCTCCTCCTCTCGCCTTCTTTTCTCAAGCTCTCGATAATCTTGAGCATCTCCTTGCGCCCACCGTGGGAGTCGATGAGCTTGTTCGCCATGCTCATGCTGACCTTTTCCCTAGCATTGGCCGAGAGCAGTCGCTTGACGAGGAGGTGGCGCATGAGGATGCAGACGAAGACGCCGCAGTCGGAGCCGTTTTCTTGTTGCGGGGAGTCGTCGAGGTTGTGGAACCTCAGGGGGCGGCCGAGGATTTCGGACATTTTTTGCGTCGCGAGGCGGGCCTCGGCGTAGTTTGCGCCGCCGAGGGAGTCGTAGTGGAAGGCAACGCCATCGATGGCGGAGACGAGGAGAAGCGACCAGTGGGAGCCGCCCTCGGCCTGTGCGACGTTTCGAGCATCGTTAATCGGCAGGAAAATGTGCGTTACTTTCGAAAAGTCGGGGAGGGCGGAGCGGATTTGGCGCATGTCGGGTTCTTTCATTAAGAGGAAGGTCATCGACGGTCGCAGGAGGATGATGCGGGCTTGGGGGTATTTCGGGAGGATCTCGCGCTCGAGCCATCTAGGTTTGTTAGGTTTGCGGGGGAGAGGGGAGCATTGAGGGGTCGTACTCTTCCCAGAAGGCGATGTTCTAGAGACGTTAGCGAGTGTCGAGGAGAGAACGAGGGCGAGTCACATACGTTATCTGTTAACCAATCGTTCTTCAGAGACTTGATGTCTTCGTAGGTTACTGGGATGGGTTAGTTCGATGACCTCGGGAGGGACGGATCGAAGCGGCTCGGGGCGCAACGTTTCGCAGGAACGTACGGAGGATATCATGATCTGCGACGCAAGGCTGTTAGTGGAGTTCGGCTTTCCGATGTTCATGCCGGATGCGCGGGTTTCGCGGGTTGGGGTGTGACTTACACGACAAATAAGGTGCCTGCGGGGAGAGCTAGAAAGAGAAGCACTGGTCAGCTCTCGTCTGTTTTTGGAGTGCAGCGCTGAAACGGGCATCACCCGCCGGAAAGTGTACCCCGCGTTCGCCCGCCCTGCGTTGTCGCTCTGCTCTGCGCAACCTGCGACGGCGACGAGATGATGGCAGGAGGACAGGCCATGTGCCCGACCGCCGTGTCGGACGATGTGAGAGCAGTGCGACGCGGCAGCGACGGGTTGCCGTCGCGCGGGAGGAAAAAACGAGGCAGAGAGTCTTACAGTGTCACCAAAGTGACGGGCCATCTTCCTGAAAGGCATGCTGAGCCGCGACTCCGACCTCTGGCCGGACTTGGTGATGCTGCTGCTGGAGCTCGGTGTCGGGGAGAGGGACGCGGACGAGGGCGTTTGCGCGGAGGAGGAGGAGCTGTCGGAGCTTTCGCGGTGCGGTTGCAGAGGCGGCGGCGGTTGTGGTTGTGGTTGTTGGTGGTGATGACGACGGAAAGCGAGGAAGCGGCTGTTTAGGTCGAGGAAGTTGCGTCAGAGGGGAGGTTAAGTCGGTTTGGGCGAGGGTTGTGTCGATCTTTCTGGGGGATCGATCACACCTGCTCGTGGTGTTTGGGAGAGAGTTGAGAGGAGAAGGAGGGGGAGAGGGGAAATGGGAATGTAAACAATTCGGGGAATGAGGGATGGGGGAGGGATGACGAGATGTTTGAAAAAAATCAAAGCCCAAAAAGAAAAACAGACACCCTGCAGAAAGAAAGGGACCCTGGACGAGGCGGTTTCCTTTTTTCGGTGGTGCTGCAATTTTTTGGGCGGGGATGGAGGAGGGTCTCCGGCTTCTCTCTTCTCTTTCTCTGTCGTGGGCGCTGGTCTGGGTCCTTTCACTTTGGGATCTGCCTGGGGGATCCAGTCACAGGGTCACCTCGACCAGGTGCTAGCGGCGGCGGCGACGGGGTGGGGAAGAACAGACGCTGCTCTGGTCTGCCCGTTTGTCTGGGGGGATTGTGCTGTGCTGTGCTGTGGTGTTGCTGTGTTTTTGGATAGGAGCGAAGTTGCACCAGCGCAGAGACGAAAAACTGGGAACGGACTGGGCTGAAATCTAGGGCGGTAGGGGCCAGACAGCATTGCGAATGAGGCTTGCGGTGCACCTCGATTCGCGTTGATGACTGACGATGCAGCGACACCAGCGACGAATGACGAGGGTACGAGGACGTGGCCGTGGCTGAGCACCCCTCCAAGCAGCAGAAGCATTGGCCAGCTGGCGTGACGGATGAGCCACACTTGAGGCGCATGCTGGTCCAATTGGGTGGGGGCTGGGGAGCTGGGGCCACCGGGTGCGTCGGGCTTCTCGCAGCCCGGAAAGCCACTCGACTGGTGCGGCCTCGCCGTTTCCTCCACTGAAGCACAGCACAGCGGGGGAGGGGTCACAAGACACTGATGACGGGAATGCAGGCCATGAACAACTGACACTGAGAAGATTGAACACACCTTGGCACGCTGAAAGGACTGCTCGAGGACGCTGCTGGAGCTCCCACTGCCGCGGCCATCGTACGACCCAACAGACTCGACGGGGTCCTGTTTCCAATTCGACCGCGGATTGTCTGGGGATCCCCCGGGGGAGAGGGTAGTCGGTAGGTTTCACTGATTACTGAAATACGAGAAAAGCCAATTCAGACTCTCCGAATCTCGAGCGGTAAGAGCGTACGTAGTAGGCGAGCACCTTTTTTCAAATAGCAGAGCAAAACATCCAGGGACGGGCAGCCTAGCAGATGGGCAGTGGGAGCACGCCAGTTTACATACTTTCAGGGCTGGCCTAGCAAAACCCAAAAAGCAAAAAAAGAAGGACGAAACCTGGGCCGATCATCTGCGATGGCAGCCAGGCCCAAGTTGGGCAAAGAGGAGAAAGGGCAAAGAGAAAGTGGCACGAGATCTGGAACGCCATCTCTCCGAATCTGGGGTGCCGCTCTGCGTGTCCGGCCTGTGACATTGGCTGCGACGGTGTCTTGTAGCTGGTAGATTAAGTGCCAGCACTGCATGATGATGCCCGCTGCGCAGCTTATCTTTACTTTACTTTATTGCTCCCTCCCTCTTTCCAATAAATGGAATTAGTCACCGCCATACTTTACAGCACTGCGAGGTTGGGGAAAACAAAAAAGAAGCGGTAATGACTTCTCCGTGGGCACTGGTGCTGGTCCTGCTGTCGCTGGACCAAGATCGATCGAGGTGCCTGGTTTCACCTCGTCTACGTCACCGTGCTGCGGCACCCGTTCCAGACCATCGCAATGGGCCGTCGACCTTGATACGTTGAATACCACCCACCTGGGGCAATTCCCGCCGCAGGCCATCACCAGCCCAGCGAACCTGCAGCATCGCTGTGTTCGTACCTACTTAGTGCTTGCATTAGGAAGCCGTCTAACCGGCCTGGGACGCCCAACGTGGCTGCTACACGTACGAGTACTTGCTTTGGTGACTGCTGGCCATGCTGACGGAGGACCTTGCGCCGGACCCTTATCCGCGGACAAACCTTGGTGTCTACCCACACTCACAGCGTAAGGACAGCCTCATCCTTTCTTTTCTGCTGCTGCTGCATCGCGCGCAGGGACTGCCGGGGCCGCGGGCCACTGGGTGGGGTAAACAAGAAAACGCAGAGGGGGGAAACTCTCCGGTCGGCGCTTGCCGAGGGAGACTTCCGGTAAGCTGGCGCCGCCTTTTCCCACCAACCACGATTGGAAAGGTTACAATCTGGTGGCAGCCGCTTCGTTTCCGATCTGCTTTCTTTGCATTATGAGGAAGTGTTTCCTTCGCTGGCAGGCTTTGTATCCTGGGAATCCGGGAGGGCGAGTGCCAGATAAACACACTTCATGTAAGTCGAGACGAAAACCAGATCAATGTCATATGCCGAGGGCCTAGACTCATCCCTACCAGTACGCCCGTGATTGTTATTGATCCGATATCACCCACAAACATCTGAGTGTGTCCAAGCTTTTCTGGCCGCAGCGGAAGGCATATCCGCGCGCGGCCCGAACGTTGGGCGAAACACCCTGACAAGCACAACAAACGCAAATGTTGAGAAAATATCAGATAATCATTCGACGGAGACCCTGCAGATCATGTCCCTATTTGCTCACCAAGTCGTGGCCCTTCTTCTATCGTACAATGTTGCTTGCGCAGTGGAAGTGTTTAAGCAGAACCACCGGTGAGACCACCCTTGCGACCAGCCTCCCGCGCCTTCTCGGAGCCGGGCTCAAAGGACCCGGACGACGCCTTGCCGCCCTCGGACGCGATCTCGCGCTGTGATAAACAAGCAACGGTTAGCGAAACGGTGTTCTAGAATCGCGACGCCAACCATGACAACCAGCACTCTGGGAAAGGAACTTCTGTAGCGACTACGAATAAACGCACCTGTCTCTCGGGGTCCATGCTGGCGAAACCACCCGCGTGGCTGGCATGACCGCCCTTGGCGGCAATCTCTTGCACTTCCTCCTTGGGCCTTTGGTGGGAGAAAAGTTAGCAGGATGCACGTAGCAACCCTCAATGGAAGGTTCAAATGCCGGAGCGGGGCGGGAGCGGGTCGTACCGGTTGGCAAAGTTGGCGGGATTGCCGTTGCCGGCCTCCGAGGTGTGGGTACCGGAGCCGTGGCTGGCGTGACCGCCCTTGGCTGCGATCTCGCGGACTTCCTCGGTGGGGCTGCACGCACGTCAGTCAACCTCCCAGATATTGAGATGCATCCTCCCCTTCGGATAGAGCGGGGAATTGTCATTTAAGGAAGGAAGGTGCATACCGGTTCTGGAAGTTGCCTGGGTTCAGGTTGCCGGTCGGGGAGATGACCTCCTCGGGGCCATGGCTGGCCTGGCCGCCTTTGGCTGCGATTGCCTGGACTTCCTCGGTAGGGCTGGAATTTTTAGCTAGAGTGTCCTCGTTGGGAAAGTGGGATGGACGAACAGGTTGGCGAAGTTTGCGGGGTTAGTGCTGGCCATGTTGATGGTTTGGTGTGGTGATGTGTGGTATCTGGGTCGTTGTTGACGGTCGCAGGTGGGTATCTTCAATGTCGATCGAACGAAAAGATTTCACGTCAACAACACTGAGATCCGATGTCTTTTATGCTTTCTCCAACTTGTTTTTTCTTCCCAGGGAAGTAGCGGCCGAATGTCATCCAAAAGGCAGGCAGCAGCTGCCTTCCTGCAGTTTCTCCAACCAAAACAAGCAGTGACGTTGCTGCTAGGCAAACAACCCAGTCCCAAGCCGCCCTCTCCTGACGATCCCCACGATTATGACGACGGAGCCGCACCTACCCATTTGTTTCCCCGGCATCACGCGTCGTTAACATTTTCTGTATGGCAAACACGCAGCGTGTTGTGCAGCGCGGGTACCCCATAAGTATTCGGTACGCGGTCTGGGCCTTGGGCTGACATCACTTGATCGTCAAAATTGACAGCGCACCTTGTTGTTACTGTAGGATACGGAGCAGAACGCGCTTTCTGTCCAGACACTTTCGTTTTAATGAAATTATATCCGCTGTTTTTTCTTTTGGTTATATTTTTCTAAAAAGAAAAAGAAAAATTTCTTGGAATGTTTGGGGGAAGGCGTTTATTCATATTACAGCATTTCTCACAGATTTTCATCGGCTTGGAAGTTGATCCGCGCCTCAATGCCATAGAACTTAAATGTCTAGGTGAGAGGGCATACAGAATAGAGTCTTTAGGAAAAGCCAAACCCATTTACTCATTAATGATCAGGGAATATTGGGGGTGCGACTTGATTTAACGGGAGTTTATGAAGCGAGAGGTAGGCAGCGACATACCGACCGGCCTGGGCTGCCTGGCCCGACCGCCGTTTTCCCTGATTTGAGCCACGACTCGTCATGGTACTGAACATCGCGCCAATCATTCAACAGCATCGCAATTCATGATACAAGCTTTCGTGACCAGCGACATGCAGTTGGTAAATTTTACTGAGTTAAGAGAACACCAAACAACATTCCGCGTAGAAGCTCTCGCCTCCAGACTTTGGCCCTGCGCTACTTTAGCATGGACTTGAATGCGAACATTTCGGCCCCACCACATGGATCAGACAGCAACCAATAACCTAGGGACTCCATCAAACGTGATATGTGCTTGGCTTTGGTGATCAACCGCGATCTTAATTGGTACGGCTCCAGAAATTTGGTCAAAAAGTTGAGCGGGCGATGATTGGACAAATACAGGTACCACACAAGAGACTCGGGCTTACACGGGTAATACATCCCCACATCCCCGCAGCCAAGTAAGGCTTTCTCTCGCAGCCTCGCAAGGCAGTATCATGATCTTTGCTTTTGATATAATATCCGACGTCGCGAAAGGAACCTTCTTTTGTAAACAGTTCTGAGTGGTTTCTAGATAACCATCTGATTTGAGCCTAGTCACCTGATTACGATGATCAACCCAACAATATTTTGATCCAGCGTGAGGAGAGTATAGTCGATTCTAGTAGCATTTGCGGAGACCCTGGTGCACCGAGCCTGCAATGTCTGAGAACATCCTTGAAGAAGACAAAATCGGTGGAAAAAGAACATTCGGTGAAGGTGATAGCGATGACAGTCGACGAGGCTTGTCGAAACGTCGCAGAGCCTCACGCGGGGACGTCGAGGACGACTTCAGGGCCAGAGAATCTGATCCACAGAGTCCATCGAACGTGAGGCTCCAACGCGAAGACTATACTCTGGGCTGGATATGCGCTCTTCCTATCGAGTTGGCCGCTAGTCGTGCCATGATGGATTGCATCCACGAGACCTTACCAACCCCAGAAAACGACAGCAACGCGTATATCCTCGGAAATATCGGGACGCACAATATTGTGATGGCGTGCTTGCCCACCGGTAACTTTGGCACAAACAACGCGGCAGATGTGGCGAGTAATTTGTTACGAAGCTTCACATCAGTTCGAGTTAGTTTCATGGTTGGAATCGGCGGAGGCGTTCCAAGTGACGCAGTCGACATTCGACTAGGCGATATCGTTGTCGGAGAAAGTGTGATACAGCACGACCTCGGGAAAATGACGAGTCAGGGATTGCAAGGAACGGCATCCGCGACTAAGCCGCCCCTGGTTTTGCTCAAAGCGGTTTCCAAACTCCGGGCAATTCACGAATCGATGCAAAGTCTGACCCCTTTTTTCTTGAACGATATGCAGGAGCGGTATTCAGAACTATCCCACTATAGTTACCCAGCCTCAGCGAATGATCGGTTATTCGTCGCTGCATACGAACACGATCGGTCGACGGTGACGGACTGCAGCAACTGCAGCGAGCGTGAGATACGCTATCGGAGGCGACGGGGGACGACCAATCCTAGGATTCATTACGGTGGTGTTGCATCAGGGAACCAAGTCATCAAATCTGGTTTGATTCGAGATGACTTGGCAGAGAAGCTTGGAGTAATTTGCTTTGAGATGGAAGCTGCCGGTGTCGCAAATACTTTACCAGGCATAGTGATCCGTGGTATCTGCGATTACTCCGATTCACACAAGAATAAGCAATGGCAAAGATACGCGGCTGCTACGGCGGCGGCTTACACCAAAGAGCTTGTCACGGCTCTCACGCCAGACAGCATCGTGGATCCTTATCCGCGGGGAACGCCCATCGATAATTGTAGGTCCAAAATGAAGTGCATTTTAATCTAGGAGCAATACTTACGCGGCTACAGGGCACAAGAAACTCCAAATCTGTCGAAAGCACCTGTTGCAATCATTGCGATTTGATCAGATTGACGCTCGCTATAAAGACATCAAGACAGCACAAATAAAGACGTGCGAATGGCTACTTCATGATCCTTTTTATGAACAATGGCTTGATCCCTCCCTGTCGTCCAAGCATCTTGGATTTCTATGGCTCAGCGGGAAGCCTGGTGCCGGAAAGTCAACAATCATGAAATTTGCTTCTACCCGCGCGAGCAAGACATCTGGGAAAGACACCGCCATAATTTTCTTTTCCTTCAACGCTCGGGGCCAAGCTATCGAGAAGACCATATTTGGACTGTACCGATCTCTTCTGTTTCAGATTCTTGAAAGATTTCCGGATTTACAACAAGTTCTTGACGACCCAGCATTAATCTCAGTTGAGCGGATAAAGTGTCCGACGGTGGATGCTCTCCAGGAATTGCTCCGCGACGCCATCCGGGCTCTTGGTCAGCGGCATTTGATCTGCTTTATTGATGCCCTTGACGAGTGTGACGAGACTCAGGTCCGGGAAATGGTTGTATTCTTTGAAGATCTTGGAGAACAAGCCGTGGAAACTGGTGTCCGGTTAAACGTCTGTTTCTCGAGCCGTCATTATCCTCACGTTAATATCCGACACAGTCTAAAGCTTACCCTTGAGGCTCAGCCTGGTCACGGACAAGATCTCGAAAAATACGTCAACAGACGTCTCAGGGTTGACGAAAGTCCAAGGGTGGACAATCTTCGGGCCGAAATTCTTCATAAGGCCGGAGGTGTCTTCATGTGGGTTGTTTTAGTCGTGGAAATCCTGAATAAAGAACTTACCAGAGGTTCTTGGTTCAGAGCTGAAAAACGACTACGCGAAATACCACGTGGGCTGAGTGAGCTATTTCAGGATCTCCTGAGACGCGATGACTACAACAAAGACGAGCTCCTGCTTTGTATCCAATGGATTTTGTTTTCGGCAAGACCTATGACTACGCAGGAATTCTATTTCGCGATGTTGTCCGGACTTCCCGATTTCCATCAGGAGATGGCTGCGTACAACCCCAGATTAGATGCCGATAAAATGATGAAGCTGTTCATCGTCGGCTCCTCTAAAGGACTAGCTGAGGTCACCGAGTCGGGTCGCGGTACCGTACAATTCATACATGAGTCGGTGGCCGATTTCTTCATGAAGGACGGTGGCATCAAAGATCTTTGGCCCGAACTGGATGGCAACTTTCGAGCTCTGAGTCATGAGAAACTGAAACAATGCTGCTTTTCTCATGTAGGCCCTCACAGCGTTGCCGCTAATCTATCACTGGAGATACGGAAGGCTCGCTGCATGATCGCCGACAAGTTCCCATTTCTGAGATATGCGGCTAAACATGTACTTCATCATGCCAATGCAGCAGCGGAAAGCCTCTCTCAAGATGAGTTTACGGACCAGTTCCCACTGAAGGACTGGGTGCGTCTTACAGACTTACTTGAAAACGGTCGATTTTCCCGGAGCACTTCGACAACCACGTTCGTATATATTCTGGCGGAGAACAACTTCGTCACGCTCTTGCAACATTATATTCGCCGCCATCCGGAGGTTCATCCCAAAGGAGAATGGTACGGGTATCCCCTGTTTGCTGCTCTGTCTAAGGGCCACTGGGCTGCCGCCAAGACACTCCTTGGTCAAGCCGATCCCTACTGTGATCATAACGAACTGTTCTTGTCTACGAATCATTATCGCGATTTTGGCTCTTTCAAAGGAGCCGATTCGACACCACTTCATTGGTCTATTGAGACAGGTCACAAAGCTCTCGCCAAAATACTGATTGACTCGGCTCACTTCGATTGTACAAGTCTGAACACGAAAGGCCAGTCCCCAGTTCACTCGGCTGCGATCGCCGGCAACAAGGATGCGCTAGTCTTGCTGCTGGGAAAATGTGGTTCATCTGATGAACAGGTGACTGACGAATCGAATTCGTTATCGAGAGCTGTGAAAACAATTAGCGACCCACAAAGCATCTACCGTCAAGAAAGACTGAGACACATCAACTTGAGAGACCACTCTGGAAAGCGCCCAATATCAATAGCTGTTGGGAGACACCACCCAGACCTTGTACAACAGCTTATCGAGTGGGGAGCAACGCTCGATGATGATATTTTTACTCCTGGCTCGACGCGTTCAACATTGCTTTCCCTTGCTTCGCGGCATGGTCATTTACATGGTGGACTCACACAATTGCTTATTGATAGGGGGTTGGCAACCATACAGACTTTCTTAAGGTTAGCTATAGTACGTGATGACTTGATGGCAATGCAAGTGTTGGAAGATGAGGCGTCTATAGATGATGTGGACGCAAATGGTCATACGCCTCTCGAAATAGCTTTTATGCATGGTCGGCTTTCAATGGCCGAGAGGCTAGTTCGTCGAGGGGCGAATATCGAGAGGGTAAATCAGCATGGTCACGCTCCTCTCCATCACGCAGCTTTTCATGGTAGTAAGACCTTGGTGAAGTTGCTGATTGATCTAGGGGCGACCATTGATCATCAGGATTTAAGTGGGCAAACAGCTCTACACACAGCAGCTTCCTTTGGTCATTCAGATGCAATCAAGGTTCTGCTAAAGGAGGGTGCGTCTACACGAGTAGTAGACAGTCATAGAATGACACCTCTACAACTGGCGATGCATCAAGGCCGCTTCAGGGCTGCAAATATTCTGCTGGGAGGCAAAGGCAGGCTTCGATTCTTAGCCTGAGGCTCAAAGACTCAATTATATGCTTTCAGAATAAAGCTATTCATCAGACTTTTGCCTTGAAAGGGATGGAACAGTTATAGGCGCAACAATTACTACTTCAAATCCCGAAAAGATTCTAAATCTCGCCTTTTCAGCTGTTTCTAATGGCATTAGAGACTCCCTACAGTCATGCACATTCCGACCCAATTTTTGTGTGTGTGATTATTCCAATGGGCTGTAGAGAATCTCGCGTTTCATCTTTGATAAAGAAGACCCAAGGCCTGTCAATTATTCGGAGCGTCCGAAAGAATATGTACCATCGCTGCCTCTCACTAGGCTCTTGATTAGAATGAGTCTTTCGTCTTCGAGGTTGCGGAATCCTAGATGAAGCCTAACTCTTCACATTAATTATCCAAATTTCCTTTATTCCTTTTGAATATGATACCTATACAAGTAGATGGCTTCGAGTGTGCTACTATGTTGCAACGTAGACATGTTAAGATTGCCGTTTCTAAGGACTCTTATTTCGACGTCTTCACCTTACGCCTTAGCGGGCTGCTCCACAACCACATTGATTGTCCGAGAGCCTTTGATGATGCTAGCCTTGAGCCCCGCCCCAGCCTGTATTATACCACCAGCAGTGTTGAGAGATTTAGAGTACGCGTCGGATAAACCGTCTTTGCCGCTCGAGTGCAGCCGCGCGTAGAAGAAAAGCGTCAATGGGCTCTACAACCATACACTGACATCATTCCTGCGCGTCTCCATGATCGTGGCAGCGAGGAACAGGGAGGTCAACACAAGCATGGCTGCGAGCAGAGCCAGTCACGCCCATCGCACGACAAAAAGTTGCTGCTGAATCCATACGCGGTCTAAAGTCTGCTATGGAATGATGCTCGATCCGTTTCTTCGTATCTCCGCTGCAATAGCACCGGTCATGTTTTGGATCGGCTGAATCACGCTGTCGGCCTTGTAAACTAAAAGAGGAGTTGTGGTCTCGCTATACTGGCAAGCGGCAACGAAGACTGTACCAGTAAGATCGCGCTTGTCTGGCTGTACTCGTCATAGAAGGTTGTTTTTAGGATGATGAAGATGTTTCTCCTGTCTGGGGAGGGGATAGGAAATCGGAATGCCAGACTCCTCCAGGGGTATTCAAATCTGACGAAGAACCTGAGTGAGCAATTTCTTTCATCCAGGAACTGAGAGTTTTTCGGCTGGGTCTCCTTCAGCAAGACCTCTTCTGAGTAAACGCCACTCTCCAGTCAGGGTAGTACTCCTTTGGCTGGAAAGTAAATAGCGCAGCGAAAAGCCTCACATAATGGATCCTTACCGAGCAGTTCATACATGACTGCTGAGGTATTCGGCCAGACCTTTACCCAATCAACAATGACCATAGTTGCTGTCAGGCTAGGGAATGGCTGAGCACGCGACATGTTCATGCCTGCCGGCATGTAGGATTCGATATGAAACAAGTGAGGCTAAACACTGGCTAATTCCAAAGAGGGATCGTTAGGTAATGCCAAGTAAGCAGCCATTGTGCGGGTGCAGAGAACGTAGAGTGAACTTGTTAGATGAATGGAATTGTAATAAGGTCGTTGTTTGTAATAAGAGCTGTACGAAAACGGGTGAACACATATTAAAAGGGAAAATCATCTTATATAGTTATTGAAGAGCTCATCTTTGCTGTTGCTACCTTAGGTATCACAGCCTGATCTTTTTTTGGCTTCCCAGTGCGGGACTACAAGGCGCGCTCTATCCAAGGGTAGTAAGGTCCTACGAATATCCTATACAGAGATTCGAATGTGTGGGTTCACTTTCAGGCTCCGAACAGCTGAGCTTCCGAAAAAGCCCATGGCTGTGTGGGAATAACCTAGAGGAAGAAGCTTGTAGCTGACGACACATATCTTCACAAATGAGCAGGCCGCATCCTGCGGCATTACCTTCGTCAAGAGGGACCTGGCGGTCAAAGGTGATATCAAGGTTATACAGACACTTGGCCCGCAAGGCTGTCATGTTACAATGCCCTTATCAACTAAAAGTCGACATGTATCGCCCGTTCCGCCATTGTGATTGGTTGTGATGGCCCCGGATGGGGCGTCAATCAACTTCCCAATGGGGACAACCGTGTTCTGCTGGCAGTCCAGCCAATCATTCAACAACCCTGGAGGCGTGCAGGGGCTAGTCGCCAACATGGGGGCTGTAGACAATTATATATGTAATTTGTCATGTCCCAGGTTGAAGCTGGTGATCGAACAGTTGGCACGGGTGAGGATGACAGCATGAACAAATCACAGCTGTCCTAATCGCCCTGCTGAGCTGCATTAGTCAAGATTTGAAATGGTCATTATTGGGTATTACGTGCTCTTTTGCTATGTGCCCGATCCCTAGTCACCTGCGCAAGTCGCCCACTTCCTGACGAGCGGGAGGTATCCGAAGATTCTCGAGTCCGTTGAGTGGTGAATCGAGCTGCATTGCATTATCTTTCCACTCCACCATTGAGCTGCCCGAGCACGAAGCTCCTGAGACAGCTCCAGCCTCATGCAGACAAACATGCCTGCTCGTCAGAGAGGCTCCGCCCCAGTAATCTCTCACTTCACGTCTCTGAAAAGTTCCGTGTTTCTCGAAAGAAGCCCGTCAATGAGCTTCCGAAAAATGATCCAGAGAGTCAACATCCGTGCCAGTTGGCCATCTGATTTTCCATCTCCTGGTGACCTGACTGAGACGCAACCCCGTTGAGCATCCTGATCTTTGTACTTGAGCTGTTCACACTTTGACGACAGCCGTTCAAGGTCCTTGTCTGCTGAACGCCGGGTTCGTCTCCATCGTACTGGAAATATGCCTCCTCAACGCCGCCCACCGTCCAGCCGTCGCACTTGTCTCCTCTGCGGCCGCATCTCCCATGGCGACATTATCACCACCGTCAACCTTGGCCGCAGTCGCAGCAGCAACCGGAACCGGCGCAGCCGGCACATTCGCCAGCGCCGCCATACTCGCCCCAAACCTCGCCATCTCCCCCCTTACAACCTTCTCCTTCCTCTTCAGCGCGCCAGGCCTGCTCTTCAAACTCTTGTGCCGCACCTTGCCCTCCCGCAGCTGCTCGAGGCTGTGCGCCGTCTCGCCGTCGTCCGCGAGGTCCGGCAGCGCGTCGGCGAGCGACTCCATGGTGGTCACGAGCTTCTTGGATGGGCGGCGGCGCTTGAGCGTCTTCTTGCTGCTGGCCTTGCTGATCTTGGAGACGAAGGCGGAGTGCTTCATCGTGCGCTTGTCTTTCTTGTTCGTGAGGAAGGCGTCGTCAACCTGGGCTTCGGCGCGGTGGGTTTTGTGAGGGGCGAGGGGGTGGATGTCGCCGCGGATTCGGGCCATGCGCTTCTCGCGGGCGGAGAGGGATGTTGGGGCGGTGGGAGCCTGGGAGGGTCAGCTTGATTGTGCGTTAGGAGAGTGGGATTGAAGCTTACCATGATGGGTGTTCGTAACTCGAAACTCGCGATTCGAAGGGGCGGAAATTCGGTCGGCGCAAAAGTTGAAGTCGCTGGTTCGAGGTTGAGGAAGGCACCGGTCAAAGTCCTGGACTGCCCAAGCTTTCAAAAATTCGAGGTGGGGACCGACAAAAGCGGATCTCTCAAAATCGTGTGGTCGGTGGTCGGGATTGGCCCCTCCGACCTTTGTATAAAATGCACAAATGCCCACGCTTGTGCGCAACGCACCCCGCCAAAGCCGTCACGACCCCTCCAAGCAAGAAAATGGGCAAAATCGAGGATTTGAAGCGGAAGGTCGCCGAAGCAGAAGCTGATCTTCGCAACTTGAAAGAAGAGCTGGCACAAGCGGAGAAGGAAGTTCATGATGAGCAGCAGCAGCAACCCTGGAAATGGCCGCTCTTGGCGGAGGAGTATGAAAGATACGGGCGGCAGTTAATTATCCCGGCTGTGGGGGTGAAAGGTCAGCTTGAGATGGGGACATTCATGAAAGGACGACGCTAAAAATGTTGCAGGCCAGTTGAGGCTGAAAAAGTCCAAGGTTCTCCTCATCGGAGCCGGTGGACTGGGATGCCCCGCTGCAGCTTACATCGCGGGGGCAGGGGCCGGGACTATCGGTCTCGTTGACGGGGATGTTGTCGAGGTCTCCAACCTCCACCGGCAGGTAGCGCATTCAACAGACCGAGTTGGCATGTTCAAAGTTGACAGCGCGATCGCATATCTCAAAGGGTAGAAGAGCACCATCCCATCGATGATCCACTTGGCATCTAATGACTAACATCTCAGATTGAACCCAACCATTACCTATCAAGCCCACAAAACACATCTCACGCCCCAGAACGCCGAAGAAATCGTCTCTCAGTACGACATCGTCCTCGACTGTACCGACCACCCGACGTCCCGCTACCTCATCTCCGACATCTGCGTCCTCCTGCAGAAACCTCTCGTCTCGGCCTCAGCGTTCCGCACCGACGGCCAGCTCATCATCCTCAACTCACCAGCAGCACCACAGGGAAGCTTGGAAGGCGGGCCATGTTATCGATGTGTGTTCCCGAAGCCGCCGCCACCGGACAGCGTGGTCAGCTGCGGCGAGGGCGGGATCCTGGGCCCGGTCGTGGGCGTGATGGGTGTACTGCAAGCCCTCGAGGCAATCAAGCTCGTCGCTGCGGGGGCTGTTGACCCCGAGGTCAAGATGAAGGAAGCAGTCGCGCCGTCTCTACTGATCTTCTCGGGGGCTGCCCCATCTGGACCGTTCAGATCAGTTCGTATGCGCGGAAGGAGGAAGGACTGCTTCGCTTGTTCCGCGCAGTCGACGTTGTCCCTGGAGACTCTAAGATCTGGTTCATTGGATTATGTGTCCTTCTGCGGTGTCATTGCGCCTGTCAACATCTTGGGACCCGATGAGCGGATCACGGCTACCGAGTATGAGCGTATTTCAAAGGAAGGCTCTGCTAAGCATCTCCTCCTAGACGTCAGGGAGAAGGAAAACTTTGATATCTGCAGCATTGACGGCGCGATAAGCATACCAATCTCAACCTTTATGAAGCATACCCAAGCAACGAAAGACGGGACACCACCACAGCCCGAGTGGATACCGACAGACTTGCCCAGAGACGCACCCATCTACTTGGTCTGCAGAGTGGGCAACGACTCCCAGCTTGCCACCAAGCGTCTCAAGGATCTAGGCCTGAACAACAACGGTAGATTCATTGGCGATATCAAGGGAGGTATGAGGGCATGGAAAGCCGAGATCGACCCGACGTTGCCGTTCACATGAGCAAGGAAAGAAAAGAAAGGTCAACGAGGTTTTGGTTTCAATAAGTTGGATTTGTTCTGACAAGGGGGGACTGCCGTCATCATACATACTTTTCCCACGCGATACCCCTATTGCTACAAAGAGAGGAGGGCGGCCTACGCCCAAGAGCCATGATGAATCCCGATTAACCTTAAGAGATGAATACAAAAGTTTGTGTGCTGTCAAGCTGTGATGTGCCGAGTTGATGATGAGGTCGTCTTTTACACGAAGGTGACGCGCTTGCGGTTGAAGGCACGCTGGTCCTTGAGCCATTGGCGGTAGCCTGCGACGCTGGAGATCTTCTCGCCGTAGAAATCAGGGACTATGCAAATGTTAGTAAACAACCATCCGATTAGCGGACACAAGGGTAACATACCAGGGTTACCGACAGAGGAGACAGAGGGGTCGACACGGTTCTTCTTGATACGAGCAAAGAACTCCTTCTCCTTCTACAGGCAAAATTTCGTCAGCATCCCGAACATCAGATCATTAGGCGCGTGCCCCGCACGACTGCTCATGAAAATACTCACCACCGTCATCTGGTTCTTCCACCTCTTGTTCAGCGTGTAAAACACCAGCGATCCCACGCTGGGCCCAATCAGCCACCCCAGCGCACCGAAGCTCATCGTCATAAGACCAAGCGTGATGAAGGGGTCCAACGGCACCTGCGAGACCAGGGGGTCCGCGACGCCGGTAGCGAGCACGCCCGCCCCGCCGACGAAGGACGCACCGAACGTCACGACGCTGAAGCCCAGCTGCCACCTGCGGCGGGACTTGCGCAGCGCGAAGAAGGTGTTCCAGTCGAGCCTGTCGCCCTGCTGCGCTGCCGTTGGGAACGCGGACTTTTGCGACGCCGCGGACGAGGTTGCGGAGGTTGAGGCATTGCGCTGGGCGCAGGGCTGGCGGACGACGCAGGCGAGAATCGGGGAGGGGGACGAGAAAACGGCGCTGCTGCGGGCGAGCGGCGACGAGGGCGCGAGACCGATCGGGCGGCCGGCGGGGGTGGGTGTCTTGGAGGTCGTCGAGTACGGGCATGCGATGGTGCGGGCGATGGAGGCGCGGGCGGCGCCCTGGCCGGCCAGGCGGAGAGCGAAAGTGCTCGTGGGAGTGAGCATCGTGTACGTGTGCTTGCGTCTCTGTGTGTTTCGTGGTGATCCGAGGAATTGAATTGGGTGGAGTGGAGATTTTTTCTCCCGGTTGGTGTTTTCCTTTCGGAAAGAAATGTGACGAAGCTGCTGGATGGATGGAGCTTGCGATGAGGTCAAGCTCGGTCCACAAAGATTTGACGCCCACTTCGAGCGCCTCTCACAACAGCCGCCGCCCAGCCGCAGCTAATGCACGGACCGCTTTGCAGCACTTGCTTCCCCAGATCGAATGACCCTTGTGGCTGTCGCGCGTTAGGTTGGGCTGGATTCCCGGGATTAGGAAAAGCCGGAATTCCTAACTTTTCTTATAACTAAAATTGAAGTATATATAATAGACTTATTATATAAGAGTTATAAGCTTAGTATACTATTAAGTTATAAAGTAGTTTAGATAGTTAAAAAGTTAGTTATTAATTTATTAATATTTCAAAAGCTTAAATTTAATAAATAAAGCTAACTAAAAGTTAAAATACTTTTAAATACTTTTTATTAGAAGTATAAATATTACTTACTACTAATATTAAAGTTTAAATTAAAAGAAGTAAGAAAAAGTAAGAAAACAAAAAAGTTAAAATTTTATTTCTATTTATATACTATATTACTTAGTTTATTAACTTTTTAAGTTATATTATATCTTTTAGAGATCTCTTTTTCTCGCAATAAGTGCTGCGCTAGTTTTAGTGACAGCCTATGCTGAGAAAAAGACTAATTTAGATCTAAAGGCGTTAGATTTCCTCCCCTCTCCCACCTCACAAAGCAACCAGACCTCAACACGAAACGGTGCGTCCCTGCCGCAAACCGGCCTCGAAAATCACGTACGTAAATTCCTCGAATGCAGTGACCTCTCAGGTCATCGAGACATTTTGTCTGACATCCACAGCTGCCGGCGTTGAGGAGCGATTGCGATTTCCCTTTCCTGCAGCGTGGTTCGGGGGTCGCGACAGACACGAGACGACACGAACTCCAAAACCGCGAACCCTTTCCGACGACCGGACGACGAAATTCCTCCCGCAAGCCTGCCACCAGGCCCGAAAGAACAAATTCATAAAATCCCCTGCCGCATGGTCGTCCGCGCGGGAAGGTGACAACCATGTCGCGACGAACCACCGTCTGGTTCGGCCGGCCCTCTCCGACCTCACGCCAGCCCAGCGCAACCACCTCCCACGTCGAGCTCGCCGTCGTCTTCAAAGACATCGCAACCTACCGCCCCTACACCCCCGGCACCGGCCCCCCGCTACGCCCGATAACCCTCGTCCCCGTGCGCGACAGCACCGCCTACATCCGCGACGAGTTCTTCGTGCCGCCGCCGCTCTCGCAGGACGGTAAGAAGCGCCTGCAGTACGTCGTCGGCTGGAGCGACCTCCCCGCGGCGCGGCTCGTGGTCGACGCGGAGCGCGTCGCGGACTATGTGTCTCCCGCAGCGTACGAGGACTGGTGCGCGGCGCGCGCGGCCGAGCGGGACGAGGAGGAGCGCCGCAGGGAGGAGGAGGAGAATGTGCGGGCCGTGGCGGAGGCGGAGGCGCGCGAACGGGGGATGCTGGTGCTGAGGAATGGGGTGAAGGATACGCCGCGGAAGGATGTTGTCACGGGCAAGAGGAAGCGCAGGACGAAGGCGGAGATGGCGGCTGCGAGGGCCGAGACGCCTGTGCAGGAGGATGGGAAGAGGAAGCCTGGCCGGCCGAGGAAGGGTGCGCCGTCGCTTTCGACGCCGTCCAAGGCGCGGCTGGAGGAGTTTCGGGAGCTGGAGACGGAGGTGGAGGGTGGTACGGAGACACCGGATGACGAGGAGGCCATCTTTCGGCAGCTTAATGGGGACGAGCCAGCTTCTGCGGCGGATTCTCTGGCGGAGGAGGAATACGATTTGAGGGAGGAGGGTGTTATGCCCATGGGCTTGGAGCCGCCGGTTAAGAAGCGGAGGAGGATATCACCTGGACCGGCGCTTTCGAGGTTATTGCCAGGGATTGAGACGGACAGCGGCCGAAGCACGCCCTTCAATTCGTCAAGAGGAGCTACGAGCTCACCAGCATTGCCGCCTCTACCTCCCACATCACAAGCAGCTCGACCAGCACCTCAAACATTCCCTCCCGTACCACAGGCTTCAGCAACATATGAGTCTACACCACCAGCAGGAGCAAAGAAGATCACACCTATCCAACCTCCAATCCCACCCAAACGTTCCCTTCTATCAATGAGAGACCCACCATCATCATCCTCACCACACCTCCAACCAACATCCTCAAAAACAACAACACCAGCGCCAAAACAATGGCAACCACCACCAAACATCAAAGACACAGCAATAACACCCCCAATCAACGGCGTCGCCATAAAATCAAAACCGCGAACAAACTCCCTCTCCGGCACCGTCGTCTCAACCCCACGAACAACCGCCTCCGCCCCTCCAGCCCCAACAACAACCACAACCCCACGAACAGGCTTCACGCCCGCAGCCCAAAGCGCAACCCCCTGGAGCCTATCCCGACCACCACCACCACCCTCACAACCCACGCCATCAATCGAAGCCGTCGCCACCGCGAAACCAAAACCAAAACTCCTCCCAAAGCCCTCCCCCTCAAAATCCACAATCAACGTCTTCGACCCAGACCGCGACGAGCTCTCCGACGTCTACGAAGTCCTGCGCCTCGAGGGCCTCCAGATCCGCCACGTCCGCGGCAAGCCCGTCCGCTACTTCGCCGTCCGCTGGAAGGGCAACTGGCCCCCCGACCAGAACCCCACCTGGGAGCCCGAGTCCAACATCCCGCGCTACATGACGAAAAAGTACCTCCTCAACAACCCCACCCCCGTCAAGGGCAAGAACGGCAACGGCACCCTCGACAAGTACCTCAGCCCCGGCTGGTCGCAGCGCAAGTACTCGTCCGTCTCCGAGGCCTTCGAGGGCGGTGACCCGGAGGTGGCGGCGGCGCAGGAGGCGCAGGATGAAGAGGCGATGGAGGACGAGGAGGAAGAGGAGGTGGAGGGGGAGGGAGAGGGTGATGAGATGTTGGTCGTCACGGATGAGCCACCGCCCAGAGTGCAGCCCACGCTTTCGTGGTGATTCGAGCCGGAATCCAATGAAGCGAGAGGGGATGTCCTGGGCCCGTCCTAGAGTTATGAGGACGGCAGCCACATGCCAGTATCCCCAAGGGAGTGACGGAACCAAGCATGCAATTCTGCGATGGACCGAAAGCCAAGGTTTTCGGCGCTACGGTAATCTTATCCGGGCAGATAGGCATATGTATTCTAGTATAAAGCGTCCTAGCGGTCGCTATTCCAAACAATGAAATCATGCAATCATGACTAGGGGCACTGATGCAGGTCACGAAACTTGCCGCTGCACGAAGATTGATGATACTGCTGTTGGTGTTCTCTATCTACTAGTGTGTCTGTCTGATGAACCATGCTCCCGCTTTACCACCGTCATGTGGTATATTGCTGGCCCACAACCAGAAATCACCTGAATATTACGCTGCTGTTTGCAGCAAAGCAAGTCCTGTGATTTCCATACTAACCCCAATATTCGCCAAACGGCCTTCCAAATATGAGAATCAGGCCTTCCAACCGAACGCCTTACCAAAAGTGAGCCTGCGCAACTGGTCTCTTTCCAATTGCCTTGCTAGATGTCGCACTTGTGTCTCTCGCAATCTTAGCAGCAAGCTGGTTGAAGCCTGCCTTTGAGATGCCGTAGACTTGTCCTCCAGTATCGTCACTCATGATCGAGGGAGCAGGAGAGGAGTAGCCGGAGGTGCTTCCACGGGTTTTGCCACGCTTGTGTGGGGGTAGATTCTGCGTGCGTTGTACAGAGTTGTTCATATCGACGTTGGTATCTCCATCCAAAAGAGAGGGAATGGCCAGCCCCGAGCTGCTGCCAACGTGGTTGACGAAGACGCCCATTGGGACATGCTGAGAAGTGTCGTCGAGGGTCGGGTATCCGCGGTTGACTTCCGAGAGAGGGGATTCGGCTGAGTAGAAGGAGGTGGTGGACGATGCCTGCCGCCGAATCTCCCTGGGCGTCGGAGTGTTCAGAGCCTGGTCGGCGTCTCCATCAAGACCTCCGTCGTCGACAACGATGCTCTATCATCGCACTTGTTAGTCTTGTCATCTTCCAACTTCGCAACGTTGTCCTTTTTGCTTTTCAGGTAAAGATTCACCTTGCGCATATCAATGTCGCCAGTAGCGGCATAGAAAAGATCGGCAGTTGTCTGAGTCCATGGGTGGGGGCTGTGCTGATTGTGGTGCAGCCACTCCTTGCGCGACTCTGCGGGAGACTGCACCCAACTACCAAAATATTGGGTTTGGACAGCGCCAGACTCGGGATCTTTCCTGTGCAGCACTCTTCGACGTTGGTCCTTGTCGAAGGCCATGTAGGGCGTAAAGCTGTCCCAGTCCACTTTGTTTTCCCAGACGATGTTCTTTCTAAGATCTTGCTCATGAAAAGCGTCGGCATCATCTGGGTCAGCCGCTGCCATGACCTGCTCTTGCAGCAGCTCGCTGTCCAGCTTTCTTTGCTCTTCAGTCATGAAGAGACGAGCATTCTTCGGGTCCAGGATTGTCAAGTCAGACGTGGCCTTGATGGGCAGGAACGGAATCTGAAGGCTCTCAACAGGAGCATGGCAGGGGTCGGGTTTGAAGCACACGCCAGTTCCCCCTCGTTCTCCCTCAAAGAACTTGGACCGAAGAATGTACTCGCGAATGTTGATGGCACAACGAATGTCGGAGAAGGAGATCTCGAAGCTTCCGTCATCAGAACAGGCGAAGTGAGTGATTGTGTCGGCGAAGTTGTTGGACATTCCTGCGAACTCCAGAATAGTCTGCAAATGGATGACCGGGAAATCAGTGACAGACAGGCAGCGAGTACAGCCCTCACCTAAACGAGCCTGCAAAGCATCGCTCAGGGGGAAGGAGTCGGTGGAGGGCATCGTCAGGCGGGTTCTGACAGATGTGGACTCGACGCAGAATCCAAATTCGCGGAATCGATTGAAGCGGTAGAACTCCATCGCATCCTCGGGATCGGCGAACTCGATGCAAGCAAGATTGTTGCGAGCCTCACCTCTGCCCATCGTCACCGTATGAGCCTTCAGAATCTTACCGCCGCGGACGTGTTCGAGAATTCGCTGAACATGAACCCCGTCGGGAAGACCTGACATGATGACCCTGCGAGATGCAACATCTGGGATGCCATCCTCTGTCATTAGCTTCTGCCTGTTGTGTTGGCGCACAAACCGAATCCCATAAGTAAACATACCGGGAGTGTGACCGGTGCTTCGAGCTCCCTGGTGATTGCGGATGGCCTGAGCTTTCTGGAACTCAGAGATCCAGAGCTGATCAGAGTCCGGACTCCAATCAAGTCCGCTAACGTCCTTTGGAGGACCCGCGAGGTTGTCGGAGGGGCTTTTGGGCTCGGCGGTGTGTGACTCGGTGGTTGACTGAGGCGTCAGTGACTCTTCCCGCTGCAACTTGGGGGTGGAGGGGGTCATGATAGGCAAGCTCTGGGGGCTTGTTGTATCTGCTGGGTCGTCATCGAGAAGGTCTTTGGAAGCATGATGGGGCTGGGGAGTTGAGGGGGCTCTGATGGAGGAGGCGGTGAAGGGGGTTCCGATCTCGCTCTGAGACTCGTTCAGCTGACTTCCAAAGGCGCTCATATCGGCAGCACCGTCAAAAGAGATCAAAAGTTCCGGATTGACCTCCTTTCCGGATTCACGCTCCTGCTTACCGCCATGTGGAAACAGATCCATAGTGGCGAACTCGGGAATATCCTGAGGATTCTTGGCAAGATGGTCGGCAGCGAAGAGTTGAATCTCCTTGATGCGTTGTGTTTTGTCGAGAACCTGACGTTGCAGGGTGTGAACCATGTTTTCAAGAGGCCTGACGCTCTTCTGAGACCCATCCAACTTCTTCTTGTACTCTTCAAGTTGTGGCTCCATTTCAGCCTTTTCCTCCTGAAGTCGAGCCACCTCCACATGGAGCTCTGCATTTTTCTCATCGACTTCAACAGCCTTCTTCTCGGAACCAAGTCTGCGCTTCAGCTCCTCGGCAAGCTGCTCTCTCAGTTCTCGAAGGCTCTCATCATCCTTGCGCGCCTTGAGCTTCAGCTTTTCGTTGACGGTGTCGAGATCGTCATTCTCACGCTTCAGAGTCTCGTGACCGTGCTCGAGCTCTTTGACGCGATTGGTGAGGGACTGGATCTGATCATCTCGGGAGTCGAGACTTTGGCGAGCATCGGTGTAAGAGGAGTTGCTGGACGAGGGGGCAACACGCTCTAGCCTAGAAATTGATTAGCCATGACATTCGGACCAAATGGATGCTGATTGCGGGTCACTTACTCCAGAGGCACGAAAGGCTGGGCATTCGGGTCAGGAGTCTTGGTCGCCTGAGGATAGTTGTCCAGGGACGAATTCTGCTTGTCTCCTGGGAAGGGCGCATCAGGCTGAGGAGGCACCGGTTGGTTGGCCTTGGAGGGGCTGCTGTCCGCAGTGCCGGATGGGCTGGTTGCGAAGTCGCCATCGGAAAGATCGATAAGGTCAGCCAGACCAGATCTCGAGGGAGGCGCAGTTGTACGGTCATTGGCAAAGTCGTCGCTAGCCTCACTGGCGTCGTCGTCGTTGAAGCCGTCGTCAGTTGAGGCGTAAACGACATGATCATCGCCGCTCTCGGCTAGGGTCAGGCTCATTTGGAAGGAGCTGCCCGCCATGATGTAGGGTGACTTGTGGGGTCAAAAAGGTTGAATGTTGTGTTGTGGGTGCGCAGCGAATTGCGAGCCCAAATGATGTGAGGTTGCTTCTTGAAAAACTGCCGAGGACCCAAAGTTAGTTTACGAATATCGCCAATTTTAGGACAAGAGTAGGAAGCAAAACTGCGGATGGCCGTGGACATGGCTTGCCTTCTGTGTAATGCGACAAATGGAATGGAGAGTGTCCGAGTCCCGACCACGGTATTCACCAAGCTCGAGACCGTCGAGTTGACGATTTTGATGGACGAAGGTCAAGTGATGTGGTGGCTTGAGGTAGAAACGAGAGAGGGAATTTGGCGCGAAGGAGAGGGAAAAGAAAGAAAGGTGTTGCCAGACTGCCACAGGTAGGCGCGTGAGATGGCTCCTTCTCAGCGGCAGTCAGGGAGCGCACCACGCTGCAAGGAAGGGACGTTTCAGGGCAGGAGAGTCCGAAAAGAACAGGTGAGGTAGGTGTAGGCGGTGGTCGACTTCCGACTTCTGATGGGAAGATTGACAAGGGGTGAACTGGGCAACAGCCACCAAAGCAAATCGCGTCGAGCGGTATGAGATAAAAATGGAAAGACCTACCTTCGATATGATCACCTTGGGGAGGGAATTCAAGTGCGATCCAACTGAGCTCTTTCTGAAGCTGAAAATGATGCTTTGGTGTTTCTAGTAGGTTGCTTCTTGTGACGTTGTTTGGTGATGTCTGCGCGCTGAAAAGACAGGTCCAAGTTGGAGAAGAGACAGGACGCTGGGCCGAATGGCAGGAAGAGCCGACGTCGACTCGGGGCGCTTGATGATACTTTTGACTGCTTGTAGGTTGCGTATGGGAAAGACTGTCGATGTTTCAGTAATGAAGGGCGGTCGCGGCCCGAATATTGCTGCGGCAGGTTGATAGAGAGGAAGGTTGCCGGTCAGGATGAGGGCGACTTGGATGATCTACCTCAGCATTTGGTGACCAAAGTGAGGTAGAGAGCAGCAGCTATCCGAAGTCAGCTTGAAGTCACCCTTCGGTGGAGGAAGGGAAGAAGTTGAGGGAGAGAGATTAGAGGTTCCCCAAGGAAGGTTTGAGATGTTGAGTAGGAAGAGGAAGCAGAGGGAGAGAGGGAGAGATCTCTGCCCTCCATTTCAGCTGAAGAAGACCTTGAAAAACTTCCCCGACTGAGAAATCAAGATCATGGTGAATGTGAAATAAAATCTCTGAATGAAGCGGGAGCTTGCCTCAGATCAAGTTTGGAAAGGTGAGAGATATCTGTCGAGGCTTGGGGCAGGTGAATCTTGGAAACTCGACAGTAATAAACTGCCAAAATCAAAGTGATATCACGCACGTTAAGAGCCACTGGCCTTTGGGCTTCAGATGGGAATCCCAATGTTCTGGCCCGACTGGCATGAGGGAAGATTCCCAAATAGCTGGGATGTCAGCCACTCGTTAGACATGGGGCATGAAGGAAGATCATATGCTATCGAGGGATCATGAACTCTTGACTTGTGATAGTGAAGACCAGCTCGAAGCCCGGGGCTGCGTGTATCCAGACGGAGAATATCATCCCATTGACAACTTTGCATCCTTTGAGATATTGGAGCAAGTCTAGGTGATCAACCTTGGTATGAAGGGGTCTTGCGGAACCTGCATGAAGGATCCTTGCACGTCCGAATATGCAAGTCTTGCTCATGAAAGACATTCAACTGCAGCTACATGCTCAGAGTCTCAGCATCCAGGCAGAGATGATGGATAGGCCAAAGAAAAAAAAGGCTTGTCTCGGGGAAAACTTCTCTTTGCCCCTTTTATGACCTCCCTTTGAGACATGCGCCTAATCGGTCCATCCTGGATGGCTGTATCTTTCACTTTGCATGTCAATAGGGACAACATAATCTCTGCCCATCGAAAGGGGGATGCATCAGTCAATCTTATGCTGTCTCATGCTCCGCTACTTTGGGGACAAGGTTGAGTACCACCGCCTTCGGGAACCTTGTCTCGAGAATCATCACGATGTTGCCGTCTTTCGAAAAGGGGCTGACACTCAGCAACGTCTCGTAAATTTCCTCGTCCATTACTATGAATTGAGTCCGAATGCCGCTCATGATGATAACCATATCGCGTCGTAAGATCTTCGACTTCCGACCCCTTCCTAGGGGAGTAGTGTGGTGGCTCCTAGGTGCGAGGTCGTCCGCCTTCGAACGTCTGTCAAGTGAATTCCAATTCCGAACACAGGCATATGACAGATTCATACGGTTTGATTGTGCAGCTTTCGCGCGTATCGAGCAATCTTCAGCAGGGACACTCTCCATCCATGTAGGCTGTGATGTGGGAGCCGAACTGCTCGTCTCGAGGGACAGACACACATGACTTGCTTAGACGAACGCTATGCTTTCAATGGTAACATCGGTTGCGTGTCTCCACATCCCCCACGATTTGCATTGGTCAGATTGTTTCGAATCCATGTATTTCCCCTGGCAGAGCGAGCGCCATGAGGGTCAGCCTTTACCGGGCATCACTCAGAAGACAGAAGAGCATTGACAGGCATCATCAAAGTAATTGACAATGGCATGTTCCTAGCCCCAGAATGAAGCCATCTGAATACCCCGTGGGGTTTCCCCGCGTCGGGATAATACGTCAGAACGGTCAAGTATTCAGTCCATAGGTGACGTAGTCAACACATCTGTGTCTGGCAGGGCAGTTTGTTCAACATCAAGGCGAGGAAGCGAGGTGGGATGCCGGCATTTCGAACCACGTATATAATGTCTGATCTCAACTAAACCTTCATATTCAGCTGTGCACAGATTAAAATTTTCCTATGTTCATCGACTGCCTTCAACCTTATTTCTCTCCGAAATCTCGAACGGCGCAAAGATGGATCAACGACACAAATGGATGGTCACCGCGAGATTCGAGAAGCGTGCCCTTCTCATCGCAGTCAACTGTCTCGCGGGAACGTCAATCTTCTTCTTCGGTACGTACTTGATCTAACTTGCAGCATCACGAGAACCTCAGTGGCCAAGGACTGACATGCGGCTGCGCAGGTTATGACCAAGGAATGATGGGCGGCGTTAACAACGCAAAGCACTACATCGACCTCATGCGATTCGGCTACGTCGACGATGACGGTGTTCCCGTAGTCACCGATACTCTTCTCCAGGGCGGCATCATGTCAGTCTTTTACCTAGGCACACTCGTCGGCTGTATGGTAGGAGGTTCCATCGGCGACCGCTTTGGAAGAATCAAGACCATCGCCATCGGTGCGCTGTGGGGCATCTTCGGCGCTTCACTCCAGTGCTCGTCCATGAACGCGAACTGGATGATCGGCTCCCGGCTCGTCAATGGCATAGGCACTGGCATCCTGAACGGCATCGTGCCGGTGTGGGCATCCGAGCTGGCGGACTACACCTCCAGAGGTTCCTTCATCGCCATGGAGTTCACCCTCAACATCTTTGGTGTGGTGGTTGCGTACTGGTTGGGATACGGCGTCAGCTTCGTCGATAATGGAGAGTCTGCCTTTCGATGGCGTTTTCCCATCGCCTTCCAGATCATTCCATTGCTGTTCCTGCTCTTTGGATGTTTCCTCTTCCCGGAATCTCCTCGTTGGCTCTGCAAGGTCGACAGACACGACGAGGCGCTCTACATCCTGCAAAGACTGCGAGGTACCGGTAATGGTATTGCTGAAGCCGAGCTGTCCGACATCCAAGACGTTCTTCGCCTCGAAGATTCGTCCGAAGGAACGGGCTACCACCAAATGCTTTTCGGTCTCAAATCAGGGAAGCTTCACACCGGGCGAAGAGTTCAGCTGGTAATTTGGCTTCAGATTATTCAGTGCTGGACTGGTATTGCGGGGATTACCATGTACGGCCCTAGTACGCATCTCCCCTGCCCCCAATGGCACCAAATTCATTGGTTTGCTGACGTTGCTTGCCAACAGCCATCTTCCATATCGCCGGTTTCGGTCCGCAAAAGGCCCTCTGGGTTTCAGGCCTGAACAACATTTTCTACATGTTCGCCACGCTCATCTGCGTCTTCACCATCGACAAAATTGGTCGCCGCTGGACACTATACTGGGGCTCAACTGCGCAGGCAGTATCCATGTTCCTCGTGGGTGGTCTTTCTCGCGGTAGCCTCAACGCTAGAGCCAGCGGAAACTTGGATGCTGCAAGCAGCTGGGGAGCAGCAGCAGCATCAATGGTCTTCCTCTATACAAGCATATTCGGAGCGACATGGCTAACGGTGCCCTGGCTGTACCCAAGTGAGGTCTTTCCGCTGCAGGTTCGTGCGAAGGGCAATGCCTGGGGTGTTGTTGGTTGGAGCATCGGAAATGGGTATGCTCTCCCACTACTTTGTCTATGACTTCTGCTGATGACCATCCCCAGAACCCTCACGCTGGTCCTTCCGTACATCGTCGGTGCAATCAACGAGAACGCCATGTACATCTTTGCGGCTGTCAATGTGATCAGCATTCCAATCGGTAAGAACCCTCCCCTTAACTTATGGTTCTCAATTTGCGCTAATGCATCACCGCAGTCTGGGCCCTGTACCCTGAGTCAAACCAACGGACCCTCGAAGAGATGGACTTCTTATTTGCGGCGGATACACCTTGGACTTGGGATGCGGAGAAGAAGTTCAAGGAGCTCAAAGAGGAACACAGAGTGGCGGGTGCTGTACGTGCGGCTGCGGATGGCGATGTTGAGTCTAAGCTGGATGACTCCTGCGCTCATGTGGAGAAGCGTTCTGGATAGGGGTTGTGGAATTGAGCTTCGTGAAAATTGCTAGTCTTCATACCATGATGGAGGCAGTAGTCGAAAATATCATAAGTTTCCTGATGAATTCTTTGATCCAAAGGCTTAAGAAAATGCCCCTGGTCGTCTTGTACCGGTTTCCCAAAACATCAGAAATTTTACAGACCAAACCCTCCGTTGTCCTTATGCATCGCCACATGGGAAAGTGATCTTAAGAAAGAGTCTGACGCTGGGCGACTCGCGAACCGTGAGCACATCGAGGGCGTACGACAATCGGCGCGCGACTTAAACATACCTAGGGTCAAAGGTAATCACCGCCATGGCGAGTGAACTCAGTTTAATAAGCAAGGATGAAACCAAGGTTGGTTCTGCTAAAATGATAGCTAGAATATCTCGCTGCATACCCTGGACGACAGATGTCGCGACTGAGATTCAGTTTTCCCTCGACGCGAGGGTGCGGGGTTGGCCCGTCCGAGGGGCAATAGGAGGATCGACGCGATGAAAGACCCGACAGGCTACGTCGCAGAGCACATGTTCTCCCTCGCATCAATGATCAATTGAATATTGAAAAGGATGTAGCCCTCGAACGAAAGCTTGGTGCTGGTGAAGTCTTCATTGTTCTATTCAACACGCTCGCGCGCCCTTTCAAATGCAGACAAGCAGTTGACCATGTTGCAAGTCTAATGGGCCGACGAACTTGTAGTAGTCGAAAATCACAGCAACTCTGTCAAAGTTAGAGATTTTATGTGATGATATCGAAATAACAGTATGGAGTTCGTATAGTCAGTACGAGTCTGGGCATTTTATCATGAGTCTTGCTTTCCGGGCGGATAACTATTATACTAGGTCTAATAGTTTTTATCTGTTGATAATTTATTATCTCTGTTATTTCTATCACTCCAATCGTCCCTATCGTCCCTGTCGTCCCTGTCGTCCCTGCCGTCCCTGTCGTCCCTGTCGTCCCTGTCGTCCCTGTCGTCCCTGTCGTCCCTGTCGTCCCTGTCGTCCCTGTCGTCCCTGTCGTCCCTGTCGTCCCTGTCGTCCCTGTTCCTATCGTTATTAATATCTTCTTCGTTATTATTCCTATTATTATCAATACTTACTACCCGCCCTGACAGCTAAACTCTATGTTATTGAGGTAGCAAACATCAGACGCTTCGAGTGTCTGCACTTAGCTTTATGTGCTTTCCATGATCAGAATACACCCCTGAAATTAAAACTCCTCAATTTCAAGGGTCCAGGTAGCTCGAACACCAATCCTTCAGAGACCCCACTTGTCCTGGCCCAACGGGAGATCTCGACACGCTGCGATAATGAGGATGATGCCGATCCGGGATTCCACGCCCGTCACAACATTCACTTCCTCCAATAGGATTACAAAACACAGGCACTGGTTTTGTTGTTGTGCCTGAGTAATGCCAGATTGCAGGGACTGATTAGTGAACTCGGCAGATTCTGAGTCGCAGACCGGTCTGGAAATCCCGTGGATGCCTCGGGGGGCGTGGAGCCCAGGTTAGAATGGCAGTGCCAAGACTCACTGACTAGCAAGCAATTCCCGCTCGAGATGAGGTCCTGGCGGGACCGCTCAATGAAAGAGGGCGTCCTTTAGCCACAGTTGTAGTCCCAGCAATGAATCAGACTCATAAGTTGCAACAAGCTTAAATCGCATCACTGACTCTGTGTCCCAATTCCACTTTTTAGACTCCCAACTATTGCACGGGGAATCTCGAATATAGTGCCCAGCCATTTACAGCCCCATACAGTAACTCACAGATTATTCTGCCGGAGCAAGACCGACGTGATTCAATGTACGTGACCTGATGGGGCCACTGGCATTTATGGTTGTTATTTAGTCAGAGGAAAGGACGACGCCCACGCGTCATTCTCTTGCTGTCACACTTCGTCTCGATCATTCGTTTCCCGATTTCTCTGTATATAACCCAATTGATCCGCCCACTATGAAGTTCTTCAGCGTTGTTTGCACCCTTGTGCTCTCGGCTCCTACCGTCTACGGAGCCTGGTGCACATCCTATGGCATTTCGACACGGTTTGGATGCGTAAGGAAATTAAACACGCGGTGCGCTGCTTTTACTGACAATTGACCAGGAGAGCGGAAGAAACCAGTTCTGTGTAAGTTCTGCTCAACCTAGACAGATTGACTACGCGGATGTGGATAGCTCATGTGAAGATAGTGCGATGTGCCGGGCGCTCCTGTAAGCGATTACAACATTTTCCGGGGTGACTGCACTCGTCCCGCTGGTAACCAGCGTAATTGTGGTGACGGTGGTGTAAGTGATGTCCCCTTCAAGTTTTGAACAACCTTGCTGACTTTAGTAGTATGTTTCCTGCGTAAGTGTTCTTTTTTAGTCGAATTTTCGATCCTTCATTGTGCTAATAGTTCTAGTGCCGGTGATTGGCTCCGACGGAATCACAGCAGTGAAGCTATTTGCAGGGCTTGAGAGCCTTGTCATTCACAGTATCTTTACTTTGATCTGGTGCGGCCGAATCGCTTTGAATGTAAACAGCTGCATGCCATGTCATCTCACTTGTCACTCGTCTTGTTTGACAGCATGGATGAGGTATGTGGCTGGAGATCGCAGGCAAGGCAGAATCAGGCTGTGTGACTGACAGCTTACCTTTTACACTGGAAATAAATCGGGGCACTGCCCAGGCTTCACCTATCTTGATCAATCAGAAGTGCAGATAAGACGCCGAAGTGTTCCACGTGTGATGACCCCAACCAATGATTCTACCGCTGCGATTGCTGCGCCGCAGCTCCTCGCGATGACAAACGCCCCCGTCCGCTTGCCCTCCACGCCTGTCGGCAGACCCCACGGCACCTCCTTGCTTTCCAATTTTCTCCTCCTGAGAAAGCTACTCATGCCCCTCAAACACACCACTCCTTGGGTTTTCTATCTATAGTGGCCGACGAGGCGCCATCCGCACTACTATCGACCACATCCTCATTTTACGACGGCTCGTGCCGATTCTCTTTCATCATGTCTGGGCTCGAAGCCTTCAGCATGGTCTGCAATGTCATCACGGTCATCAGCTTTGGCTTGGAGACCGTAAAGCTTTGCCACAGCATAAACGAGTCCGGCAGCTCAGACCCTGAACTCGTCAGGTATGCTCAGTGGATACGAGAGAATTCCGAGCAGCTCCTTACACATCAGCAATCTGCAAACACAGACGCAGAGAAACGGCTCCATGATATCGCCTCTGAGTGTCTCCAGTGTACCAAGAACATTGTGAAGGAAGTCCAACACATATCTCCCAAGAAGTCTGGACTCTTTCGAGCGATGATATCTACCGTTAAGACGATCCGACGCAAACCCCATCTGGATCAGCTCAAGAGTCGCCTTCAGGCGTTACGGAACACGATGGATACCGTTGTCATCGGCCAAATTCTCAAAGAATGCATTACATCAGGAGAGATAAATCAAAACAATTACGGGACACTCATTCGAGACCAGAAGGCTTTCAACAGGATCCATGAACAACGTTCTCAAGTCGTCGAAGTTCTAATCAGAGAATTTCATGACAGCATCAAAACGTCAATTGTCACGGCCTTGGGGACAATCGAAGCCAAAATCGACGTAGTTGAGACCAGAAATCACGAGAGGCAGTCCCACGAAAAGCTGCTTCAGAGTCTGAAGTACGATGGAATGAACGAGAGAAAGAATTCGATACCCAGAAAACACAAAAAAACATTTGAGTGGATATTTGAGGGATTGGAACTCGAAGAAACTTCTGGTTCTTATTCCGAGCATGAGACTCTTGGCAAATCCGACGTGATAATCTTGGTAGACGACTCGGACTTGGCACATGAAAAGCGAAGACGCGTGCATGAGGCGAACATGGCCAAGAGAAATCAAAGGGGTGCCAACCTGCTTGGGTGGCTACAAGGAGACAGTCGCGACCTATACTGGATCAGTGGAAAACCTGGATCCGGGAAAAGTACATTGATGAAATTTATCGTGACGGACAAGCGGACTAAGACTGCTCTGCGAAGTTGGCGTCATCGACCAGAGATCATTTCCCACTTTCTCTGGAAACCGGGAATGCATCTCCAACAGAACTTACAAGGCCTACTTTGCTCATTACTATACCAAATCCTTATGGAAGGTCCCGACATCGGCGCTCAGCTCCTGCACAATGATCCCGGCTTGAGATTTAAGAACAGATGCGACGACTGGGATTCTGAGGACTTAAAGAGAATTCTCTTTGAAACATTGCGGGCCACAGATCGATCGTACTTTGTTGTCTTAGATGGCCTAGACGAGCTTTCCAAGCCCCACACAGGCATGGGGGAGCTGTTTGGACTAATGGACCGATTAATGGCGGAAGACAACGTGAAGCTCTGCGTCTCCAGTCGTCCCGAACGGGTTTTTGAGGACAGACTTTCTTCAGGTCGGTTGCTACGCATGCAAGATCTGACGTTTCAAGACATTCTCAACTACATTCTCGCAACTCTGGACGATATTACTCTCGAAGTTGACGATTACATGAAGGGCAGAATAGCCACTGAAATCTTGAAGAAATCAGATGGTGTCTTCATTTGGGTCCACACCGTTCTCCAAAACGTCAAACATGGAATCAACGAGTTCAACGAAACCTGGCACGACGTCTACGATCGCATCACTGAGCTGCCACCAGACCTGATGGAGCTTTACAGAGACATGTGGTCTAGGCTGGGTGAAAGTTCCAAAAAATACGTCAGGCAAGCGGCTTTATATTTTCAGCTCGTCCGGTATGGCGATTTCAGTTTGAACACCGTTGCTTGTCTAGCGGTAGCATCCAACGACAAGATGTTGGACAGCTTCACGGGACTAGACACATTGCCTCAACCACTTGAACTCGTTAAAAGGTGTGAAAGGACGCACAGGAGTCTTTATTCAATCTCTTGCGGGCTACTGGAGACCCGTAGCTCTTTCTCCGTACTGTTCCCCGTACACAACGAAACAAACGACATCGTCACTCAGAAGTATAAAAATGCGGTTACTGAGCCCATTGACAAAAGAAGTCTAGATGACACATATCTTGCAATGTCTAAATGGGATCAATACGGTGCTCAGATTCGCTTCACACATAGAACTGCTGTTGATTTCCTTGACAGCGATGAGGGAATCAAGCTTTTTGGAGAATACAAGCAAGCCGAAGACGACATCTTCTCGAGGCTATTCAGGGCTGGAGTACTCCTGGGATGCATGCCCCACGATCACGATAGTGGAATTAGAAGGAACTTTTCAAGCTTTTCCGGGCGATATCAGTTGAAGCAACCACTAGACGGGACAGCGCGTGACCTACTCGACCTGTTCCGTCGATGTGAGGAGAGGATTCTTCCCTTCTGCGACCCACCTCCTGGTTTCAGCAGTCACGCATTTTTCATATTCTCGGCTGCGTATTTTGGATTTTATGACTACGTCGAAGAAACTTTACAGGCCACCGAGGATGACTATGACGCGATGGTAGACAGCGCTCTCATTGGCGCTTGCTCCCTACCTTTCAACTCCAATAACGACCCAAGCAGTGTTGTGACAACCTCGAGGCACGACTTGATACATCAGTGTCTTGAGAGTCTTCCACGGTCGGCTGCAGACCCTTCCGAGAACATGATGAACGCCTGGCGTTGTTTCCTGCGACATTTTCTGCCGAGAGCTCTTGGTAGCACTAGTCTGGAGGAGAAAACCACTATAGGAAACATCCTGGAATACTTCATATCAGCTGGTGTTCGTCCTTCCCAAAAATACATTATGGATATCTCCACGGACTCTCGCCAATGGTATATTTCAATCCCAAACCCCCAAGAGGAGTTTGGCTTTACGTCTGATGATAGCGTTTGCTGGGAGGAGTCAAAATTGTACTTGGAAGTAAATGACTACTTTCTTCTGCGAGTGCTCTCTGATCGCATTCATTGCACATCGAAAGTCATTGCACAAGCCGCAAGTCTAGCCTTCATGAGGCCTATTCTTGGAAGGAATCCGTGCCCAACCGAAAACAAAATGGAAATGTTCACTTGCAGCCTGAGTGAGGACAAAAGAGAAGTGTTTGAAGAATGGATCTTCGAAGGATTTGTCATGTGGCCACCAAGTGAGAACTGCTTTCCGGACGAAGTCCCATCCTGCCTTCAGGTGGAGGAATTAGGGGTATTTCAGACTGTGTTTGATGCTCTTGAGGAGATTGGATATGATTTGCCGGAAGTCAACCAGAATTACCTATGTTGGCATGACTATGACGAGTTCGTTCCCTAACGATTTCAGTTTTCAGGGAGCGACATGAATTTGAGAAATAGAAATACTGAACTCTGATGTACTGGGAACTGAACCTTTTTCAGAGTACGTCAACCGGCCTCACACGGCTTCTGTTGTGGAGGTACTCACCCATCGTGAAGGGATATCCCATGACATGCGAATGAACTACAGTACTACAATACAATGGTGGTCCAGTTTCTGCAATACATTCACCCAGAAAAGTTAGTATCGACCGGACAAAGTGCGAGCTACTAGCGAACGGCTAATCTGAGGAGAGGTCATCGTGTGAAAATACATTAATCCATACAAGGTGTGGCCCTACACGACGTACCCCAGGGAGCGCTCCGACGTCGGAAAATGGATTCACAACGATAATAACAGCAACTGAGAAACGTGTCGATCTTGTCGGAATGGCGTATTGTAGTCTGCTTCCACTCCGTAGGACAAAACTGCATATTGGCGCTGGTTTGAAGGCTTTGCTTGGTTTCAACAGACGATTATATCGTGTCAGAAAGGTGATATTGCAATTGAAGGATCCCGTGTGTAAAGTGAGATTTTGTCTGCCAAGTCTCCATTGTAGGTTTAGTTTTGATTTCGCAGAGACTCTACTGAGCGACATCCCGCGGCATCTGCAACATATACGCAGACAAGGGGCTCATGGTGAATTGAAAAAGCGGTGTCGACACCCAACGAAGATCGGCCCGCCTCTGCTTGTGGTGCAGGCAAGTATGAGGACACATTGAATTGTCAGGAAGGAGGAGCCATTGCAGCGGGAGACGTTCAGGTACAAAAGTCAATTGGATGCATACAGCATGCGAATATTGCATGAATCGCGTGAAATCAACACAATCAGGTGACGGAGAACGGCCGGTACAACTAAGAGGGAAAACCAACATGATGAGAAAGAACCAGGAAGGAGGGGCATGAAACTGCGGTCTGTGCAGGCTGTCAGGCGCTAGAATGCGGCGGGACGGCTTGGTGACGTCATGCTAGCACCGGGATAAGAGCTGTTGTGGTTCTAGCCTCTTTTTTCTCGGCCGGGGGATGGAAATGTGCCGTAGTCTGCTTCTGGTATCACAACAAATCAGACCAGTCAAGAGATCAATTGAGACCGGAACATGCGCCGAGAAAGCACAACGTCGAGCCAAGTCAGAGTCGACTGATGGCTAGTAATTACTTAGAACGAGCCATGCGCTACTCAGAACTGAACAGTCAATTATCACCTAAACAGGAGTCGGTGTCATCACAGACCGAAGATGATAGCAGGGGCAATACACTTCGCTTCAAACTGTTGAGAGTCGCAACGCAGAAAAAACATGGATATCTGCGACGATTGGCATTGGCCGGGCCTGGCCTCTTTCCCGAATCTCCGCCCCTGGCATGTCGCTTTCGTACCCCAGTTGCGGCCCATGTTGCACGATATGGAACACGGTGCACGGATGGCCACTGACAATGCTGGCATTGGGAGAACTGGCTATCATCGCGATCCATGGCAGCGAGAGAGTGGGAATTCGCGGTCTGGAATCATGGAGATCGCGATGGCAGGTCTCCCGAGCTCCACGCGGTTCTGGGCGCTAACTCAAACCCCGCTAGGGCGCTCCACCGCTCTGTGCTGTCCCCGCCGAAGCTATCCGTTCCGGGGAGGTTTGGCAGCTCCAAATCTCAGACCATGTATCTTTCCCATGTTTTTGTATGGAGGAGGACTTGCCCCGCCATCTTTCGTGTTCAGACTTTCTGCTGATGGACTTGCCTTGGACCTGGGTTCTTTCCTGTTGGTGCCGTCACCTTCGTCGCTGCTGCCCGCCTAGAAGCAAGCTGCAGCTGCTAAAGTTGGCAAGGTTACCAGGTACTTCAGGCATGGATGGAAGGTCCAGCGTAGCCCGCCATGTACCTCGAGATGGGTTGAGCGCTGCTTCTACGAACGAAAGAACAAAGACACCGCCATGAGCCTAGCAGTAAGTACTTGCCCGTCCGCCAATCCTTCGCTCGAAAAAGTTCCTTAGCCGGAGCAGTTCCCGCGGACCAGTCCTTTCCTTTCTTCTGCTGCTGTGCGACAGCTTCCGGCCGGTGAGCTGAGCTCGTCCTTCGCCAATTCCTGAGCTGCCACTGACACCCCGCCATACCTTTTTCGAAGAGCTACCTCACCACGCTACCAGGCTGACCTTTTGCTCTGTCCGTCGCTATCGTCTACCTCAGCATCGTGTTTTCTTTTCTTCCCTCTGCCACACTCTGACCGCAATCCTTCTCTTTTCCTCAATTCCCTCGTTTTCTCCAAGCAGCAGATACCCTCCAAAGGCTTTGGCGTAGACGTCCGTCGCCAATTCGTCCCCTGTCGCCTGCAACCCGGATCGGCGTGTTTTCCCTCGAGCGGATTCGCCCCCCGTGCAGTGCATGATTCGAGTCATTGCGCTGCCTGCGACCCAGTCTACCTACGCCGATCTGTCCGCGGGGCACGAAGCTGCCTCCTACAACATCTGAGGGATGGTGCCAAAGACCATGATGTCCAACGAAGTCTACCTCCTGCCGCTGAACGACGATGGCTCTCCCAACGTCGCCGGCGAGTATGTTTACCTCGCTCCCAAGACGAACGATCCCGTAACCATCCGCTTTGCAATTGAGGGCACCTCCTCCATCTGTCGCCATGGCAGTCTGTGGGTCAACATTCCTGAGCAGGGCGCCGACTTCCACAGAGACCAGTTCCGCGAGTTCAAGTAAGCTTCACCACCAATTGCTCCTCAATTGACCACAGGATTGAAGCTCATGCGCGGCCCAGACTCGTGCCCGACTTCAATCGCACAATCGAAATCTCCATTCCCATCTTCCAGGCCGGCGCCTACGCCTTCTACACCACCTACGCAGAGCTGCCAGACCTCGCCGAGGAGCTGGACTCGAGCCCTCAGACCGAAACCACCAACAAAAAGACCCCGCTCTACTACATCGATGTCGCCCCGCGCCTCAGCCTCGACGGCAGGCCTCTGCCGCTGCCTGCCCTCTCAATCTTCTCCGTCATTAGCAAGTTCATGGGCAAGTACCCGGGCGACTGGGAGAAGCATCTGCGTGGCATCAGCGACCGTGGATACAACATGATCCACTTCACCCCGCTGCAGGTCCGCGGTGCCTCCAACTCTCCCTACAGCTTGTACGACCAATTGGGCTGGGACCCCGACTGCTTCCCCGACGGCGAGAAGGATGTCCAGGGCCTGGTTGAGAGCTTGGAGAAGCAGTACTCCATGCTCAGCTTAACCGACATTGTCCTGAACCACACGGCGCACAACAGCGCCTGGCTGCAGGACCACCCCTCGGCTGGCTACAATCTCGTGACGGCGCCTTGGCTGGAGTCTGCCTGGCTCTTGGACACGAAGCTGCTGGAGCTGAGCGACAACCTCGAGAAGCTGGGTCTTCCCACCGAGGTCAAGACCGATGATGATCTGCTGAAGATTATGGAAGCTATCAAGAAGCTTGTCATCTCTGAGATTAGGCTGTGGGAGTACTACACAATTGACGTCGAGCGCGATGTTGAGGCATCTCTGGAAGCTTGGGTTGCTGGCCAGACCACGTTCCCCGACCAAGCTGCGGGCGCAAACGTCACTGGACTCAAGGAGGCGCCTTTGAAGGAGCAGGCCGAGTTCCTCATCAACAACGGTCTTCAGGGCCGTGATCGCATGGGAGAACGCTTCAGAAGAAAGATCGACCCTAAGGTCGCCTCCGGACTTTTGTCTGCCATCTTCGGACGGTACGAGGGTGAGGAGGGCAGCGGCCCAAGGAAAGCTGCGGCCAAGTCCAAGCTTGTCTCTGTCTTGGACGAGGTCAACCTGCCCTTCTACAAGGAGTACGACGCTGAGATCACCGAGATCTTGCAGCAGCTTTTCAACCGCATCAAGTACTGCCGCATGGACGAACACGGCCCGCGTATGGGTGTCATCAACAAGGAGAACCCTCTCATCGAGACGTACTTCACTCGCTTGCCCAAGAACGACACCACCGCCAAGAACAAGCCCGAGGAGAATGTCCTTGTCAACAACGGTTGGGTTTGGGGAGGCAACGCCCTCGTCGACAATGCCGGCCCCGATTCTCGCGTCTACCTCCGACGTGAGGTTATTGTCTGGGGCGACTGCGTCAAGCTTCGCTACGGCAAGGGCCCATCCGACAGTCCCTTCTTGTGGGAGTACATGACCAAGTATGCCCGCATGTTGGCCAAGTACTTTGCCGGTTTCCGCATCGACAACTGCCACTCCACTCCCATTCATGTAGCCGAGCACATTCTTGATGAGGCTCGCCGCGTGAGACCCGACTTGTATGTCGTGGCCGAGCTGTTCAGTGGCTCCGAGGAGATGGACTACGTCTTCGTCAAGAGGCTGGGCTTGAGTGCTCTGATCCGTGAGGCTATGCAGGCGTGGAGCACTGGCGAGCTGAGTCGTCTGGTGCACAGACACGGCGGCCGACCTATTGGCAGCTTCGAGGTTGATGAAGTGTCTCGTCCCGAAGGCAAGTCTCCGATGAGCCCGATGAGCCCCTCGCAAGAGGGTAGCGACATGCTCAACGGGGCTCCATCCTCGAGAGAGATCATCAGGAGGATCAAGCCGGTGCCAGTCCAGGCTCTGTTCATGGACTGCACTCACGACAATGAGACCCCTGCCCAGAAGCGCGACGCTCGCGACACCCTCCCCAACGCTGCCCTCGTTAACATGTGCGCGAGCGCAACTGGCAGTGTCATGGGATATGATGAGATTTACCCCAAACTTGTTGACCTGGTCAACGAGACCAGACTCTACACCTCCGAATCGTCTTCTAAGCCCGTCAAGGTCGGTGGCGGTAGAAACGGCATCGGTGGCATCAAGAAGCTTCTCAACCAGATCCACACCCTCATGGGCAAGGACGGCTACGATGAAACTCACATTCACCACGAGGACCAGTACATCACCGTTCACAGGGTTCACCCTGATTCCAGGAAGGGTTACTTCTTGATCGCTCATACTGCGTTCCCTGGATACGGCAATGGC